TTAAAATATTTGGTTAAACATTCCGGGCGCAGTGGCTTATGTCTGTAATCCCAGCACTTTGGGAGGCCGAGGCCGGCAGACCACGAGGTCAGGAGATCAAGACCATCCTGGCTAACACGGTGAAACCCCATCTCAACTAAAAATACAAAAAAAAAAAAAAAAAAAAGTAACTGGGCATGGTGGCGGCACCTGTAGTCCCAGCAATCAGGAGGCTAAGGCAGAATGGTGTGAACCTAGGAGGCAGAGCTTGCAGTGAGCCGAGATGACACCACTGCACTCCAGCCTAGGTGACAGAGCGAGACTCCGTCACAGAAAAAAAAAAAAAAAAGTTTCTCTTCATTGAGTAGAAGTGTGGTGTCCTCTACCTTAAAGAAATATTTAAAGCAAATTTTAATTGTGTCCTAATTCATTTTGTAATGTCTTTACTATTCAAATTTAACATATTTCTTGCTGCAAGATGTGAGGTAGCTTATTGTGCAACAAATTACTCAATTGTTTAGAAAACGGCCAGATATTATTTATGAAATATTTGTACTGGTTTAAATATAGTACTTCTAAATCATGATTTGTACTTCTAAATCATCATGGAAGAAATAAAATGATTTACCAAAAAAAAAAAAAAAAGAAATTATATACTCTTTTCTAGAGAGACAATCAGGAGGAAACACAGCAAAGACGTCACTGGTAGGAAATGCTGACTGCTTAAAGCAGTCTTTTAAACAAATTAAATGTATGCTTTTTGTTGTTGTTCTTTTTCCGGTATTTAAAATACTCATCCCTAAGACCTGTATTCATATTAAAAGAAAATCACCTTTGAACAGCCAAGGCAGTACAGATCAGTGACCCAGATTCTTTTCAATGTATCTGGAATGTTTTTCAAGGCCACAAAATCGTTCAAGTTACACTGTAACCAGTATAATGTGTCTACCCAGTGTAACCTGAACTCAGAGACACAATGATGTATCTTTTAGATTCAGTGTGTGTTATTCAATAAGGCAATTAGGGCACATTTGAGAAAATGGATTGTGAACTATTATAAAGATCTCATCTTATTGCATTGCAGAAAATATTTAATATTTTCTATATGCTGTTCACAAATCATTTATTAGTCACTGACCCAATTCATTTTTAGCAGTAAATACCTTATTGTCTCATTTATTTTTTTAAACTTGGACATTATGCCTAACTAAATTTGTAAAGTTTTTCAGAACTTTAATGGATGATTTCTACTAGTAATCCCCAAAAAGCTAAATAAATTTGATTAACACATCCAAATATACCAAAGAAATACCACGCCTTTTATCATACTACACACTTAATACCTTATAAACTTAGAATTTAGCAACATATGTTGTATTGTTGGTAATTAAGTGTTATAGTCTTACCTTTTCATGACTAATTTTTAAAATGAATAAAACATTTATATCTTACGCTATTTTAATCCTGTAATCTTGACTGCCTTTATGTCACCAAGGCTGGAGTGCAGTGGCACCGCCATAGCTTACTGCAGTCTTAACCTCATGGGCTCAAGCAATCCTCCCACCTCAGCTTCTCAAGTAGCTGGAACTACAGGTCTGCACCATCACACCTGGTTACTTTTCGTTTTGTTTTGTTACTGGTCTTGAACTCCTGGCTTCAAGCGACCCACCTGCCCCAGCCTCACAAAGCTCTAGGATTACAGGAGTTTGCTGCCATGCCCAGCCTTGACTGCATATAGTAATTCATCTTTTAAGATTCATTCCATGATTTTTTCCTGTCTGCTATCTTCATCAAACTCCTCAAAACACACAGGATACTTTGAATTGAAACAATGAAGTCAAACTGTTTCTGATTTAAAGTAAATCTGATTTGTCTAGTTTGACAATGAAAATGGGCTGTTTATTAGGTTATAAGGTAAACATTTAACATACTTGCAAATCTTTTTATTTTCTTGTTTTTGAGAAGGGTCTCACTCTGTCCCTTAACCTGGAGTGCAGTGGCCCCATCATGGCTCACTGCACACTTGACTTCCTGGGCTCAGGTGATCCTCCCACCTAATCCTCCCAAGTAGGTAGGACTACAGATGCCCGGCACTGCACCGCCTAATTTCTTTTACTTTTTTGTAGAGGTAGGGGTCTTGCCATGTCACCCAGGCTGGTCTTGAACTCTGGACTCAAGCGATCCTCCTGCCTCAGCCTCCCAAAGGGCCAGGATTACAGGCATGAGACACTGGGCCCAGTGACAAAGATTTTGAACTTGAAGGAGCTAAATCTGCAGTTGCAAATTTTGACAAAAACAAAATTTAACCACCTGATAACAAAAATAAATCTTACCCAAAACTATTTATGAAATGAACAATGTTTAGATATTCTCCACACTTTGAGTATATCGGGTGAAAGGTACATCTCATTGAAAAAATCAGGTCGAATTCATAGTCATTTGGTATCTTGGTAAAACCTATCTGGTATATTTCCCAGAATCTGAAAAAGTGAAAAAATAAGGATTAAGTAAACAGACCCTTTGGCAAGTCAGGTGGTTTTCGGTTCTTTGCTTCTGATAAAAAGGAAGGAGGGCCTAACTGAAGTCAGCTCATATTTTTTGAAGTTAACCAATTTTTTGAGGTCAAGAATTGAATGATATTGCTACAACAAAACTCTTCCATTCCTAGGCACAGTACTTGTTTATATTAGCAAGGTTTCTCAGGGCACACAGCTATAAAAATTACAAATAGGAATAGAATTGATGCTCAACCCTTTTTCTCCTACTAATAAGACATATTCAGCCACAGATGTAGGAACTCTAAAAAGCAACAATATGCATTTTTCAATAAAATTACATATACTATTTAATAATTATGAAATTTTCTAATATTTATGTTGCTTTGACCAGGTACTACTAACAATTTTAAGGATGATGCAGTCCTAAAGCAGGTGATTTGCTAGCTGTGTAACCTTATTCAACACACTTCATTTATCTGGGCCTTGGTTCCCTGATTTGCAAATTGGGGATAGTAATCGGACCTAGCTTTTGGTGTTTGTCCAAATATTAAATGAGTTAATATATGTAAAAGCACTTAACGCCACGCTTGGTACCTAATATGTGCTATGGATGTTTTACCGGCTATAATCATAGTAATCAATAGCAAAAAGCCTAAAACCAAAAGCCTGTCGGTTTGTCTTCACACATAGGAAGAAGGGGCTGGAGGGATCCGGTCTAATCCACAGGCACACTGCCAGAAACAAGGGACTCCCAAGGGAAAACGGGATGTGCAAGCAGAAGAGAGACAGAAGGACCGTGGAGCTACCTGCTGGGACAAGAATAGTGCGGGTTCACAGGCTAAGAACGACGAGGGTTGGGCGAGTTTAGAATGAGCAGATCCACGTAGGGTTCGAATTATACATGTCTATGGATCTCTATGCACTGCTCCGGGAAACAGGAGCAAGAGAGGCAGGCCTAAAATGCCGTCGCGGATGAAGCGGGGCCAGAACTTCACTGCTCCCGCTCAGACCGAGGGCCCCAGGTGTCGCGCGGGTCGAAGCCCTAACCTCCGGGGACTCCAGACCCCAGCCAGTGACCCAAACCCCACAACTCGCGGCCAGCACAGTCTTCTCGTCTCCGTCGCCACAGTCGCCGCCACTTCCGGCGCACCTCGGCCTCGCGAGGGCGCTCGCGCCTGGCGACGGCCGAAACTGGCTCCTCGCGGCCTCCGTCGCCGGACTTTCGTCAATGTTGTCACCGTCTTTTCCTCCTTTCCCCCCGTTCCCTTTTACTTCCGGGGTTGCTCTGGATCCTCTGGTTCCGTAACAACATCCCGTTGGCTTCCCTCAGGCGGCGGGACCAGTGCAGCCGCCGCCTCCCAGGTGCGCCCGCCGGTCAGGGCCCTTGCCCTCCCCGGCACAGGCCGCCATGGCCACCAACCCACAGCCGCAGCCGCCTCCTCCAGCGCCGCCGCCTCCCCCGCCGCAGCCGCAGCCACCGGCAGCCGGCGCCGGCCGCCCGGGCTGGCGGAGCGGCGGGGCGGGCGGCGGGTGCGGGCGCCGGACCCGCAGCTCGGGGTGGCCATGATCGTGAACCCCTCAAAGAAGCGCAGGGCTCTATCGACCCAGCTTTCCGCGGCGAGGCACTGCTGCCACGTGGATCACCAGGTTCGGGAGCCGCCCGGGTTTGGGGGTCCTGCAGGGAAGGGGAGGACCCAAGCGCGGCTCTTTTGCGGTGGGCCTTCCTCTTCGGAGCTGCCAGCTGTGGTGCCAACACGCTGTGAAGAGCACAGCGTGTTCATCGTTAGCAGTCCATTGGTTTTTTTTCCGGACTAGTGGTTTAAATACTACGGCCAGTCAGTTTTCGGCCAGTGATTACGGGTCTGGGAAGACTAAGGCACCTTGTTCTTCCTGGATTGGAAATCGAGCGCGTAACGAGTGCGCTAGTTTTTGGATTCCTTCTCATACACTATGATGCTTTTTGGTATCGTAGTTCGCCTTCTTTCTTTGGGTATTTCTGACGGTAGGAGCCATGCCTTACTTTTGGGAGAAATCACAGTAACTCAAGTTTGGTGCAATATGCTTGCTGGACATGCTGGAGGGTGAGGAAGCGCAAGGATAGGAGGCAAAGCCTGAGAAGACTTTGTATGGTTCTAGCAGTGACTACCTGATTTAGGTAACCTACCTTTGTATACATTTCTAAGGTGGGAGAGGGGTGAACCGGGTTCATGCAGTGGAGAACAAGATGCAGGAGAGTGACGCAGATCACGTGAAGGGAGAAAAGGACAGGAGAGCTCGTACTTGGCCTAAAAAAAGAAGGAGGGGGACGGGCAGCAGGGGGTTCCTGGTCCCGGAGGCGAGGAGATTTTGTACCAAATGTCAGAGTGAAAAGGAAATTAACAGGAACAAGTAAACTTAGCTGGTTGGCAAAGAATTACAAAAAGACACCAGGGAAAGGGCAAGTCAGTGAGGTGGTGGGAAAACACAGAAGTCTAGAGTCTGGAAGCCAGAAAGCATGGTGGGAAAATTATACTCGTTTGTAGGGAGTTGTTTTCCGTGCTGAGTTAAATCTTGTTTGGGTCCATTGGATAGGAGTTTGATGAAATGAGGGGTTTACTTTTTTTTCTTTTTCTTTTTTCTTTTTTTTTTTTTTTTTTTTGAGACGAGTCTCGGTTCTGGTGGCCAGTCGTCTGGAATGCCAAGATGGCGCGATCCTCGCTCACTGCCAACCACCGCCGTCCCGGCCGTTCAAGCCCGACTCTCCAATGTCGCAGCCTCCCAAAGTAGCTGGGCATTACAAGCTCGCGCCACCACGCCCACTAATTTTGTATTTTCAGTAGAAACGAGGTTTCACCATGTTGGCCAGGATGGTCTCCATTCTCCTGACCTCGTGATTCGCCCAATAGGCGTGAGCCACCGCGCCGGCCGAGGGTTTCTCTTGTTTTTTTTTTTGCAGACGGAGTCTCACTCTGTCCGCCCCAGGCCTTGAGTGCAGGCTGGCCCGGACCAGCTCACTGCAAGCTCCGCCTCACGGGTTTAAGCCATTCTCCCGCCTAGCCTCCCGCAGTAGCTGGGACTCCACAGGCGCCCGCCACTCGCCCGGCCTAGTTTTTTGTATTTTTTATAGTAGAGGGGTGTTTGCACCGCGTGTTTAGCCAGGGATGCGTCTCGATCTCCTGACCTGTTGTGATCCACGCTCAGTCTCTCTGGCTCTCAAAGTCTGGGATTATCAGGCCTTGACCACCGCGCGCGGGGCCCCGGGGGGGGCCCAGGGGTTTTCTCATAGTATGTTTAGTTGTTGTGAGGAGCCTTGTTTCTTTGAGAAATGCATGTTTACAACATCCACAGATTCTTCTAAATCTTTCAGGTGAACTACACACAGTTCCACTATCTCTTCTGGGGAAACTCTCTTGAATATCCTGGTACATCTTTCTTTATAAGGACTCATACTGGGCCCACTATGTAAAATGTGTTTTTTCAGAATATTGGAGGTTTTGCACCACAGAGAATTCAATTCACTTGGGAGTGTTCATCTATTTAGAAAGTATGGTTTTTTTACTTTTGTCTTCAGGAATATGCACTGCTACCTTTTAGAAATAATGCCTATTGCCTTTATTATTTTTGTTATTTAGTGGGAAAAGGTTAGACATGGCCAGGTAAATGTTACCAAATAAAGGTAGTTATTCGTATTCAACAAACAGAATTTTTACTTTGCTGTTCTCGGAAACCCATGAATCTGTGTGTTATCATTATGTATACAAATTAAAAATTGTAATGTACTGCTGCAATGTCTAAGGCTCAACTTTTTTATTATCCTATTCCCACAAAATGTTATTGGTATGTGTCTATAATATCCCTGCCAGATCCTTCAAAGTAAAGGATTAAAACCGTTTTTGGAGGGAAGGAGGGAAGCACAGTAGCTCTGATCATCTAATGAAAGTTAGGACCTTCTCTCGAGAAAAATGCACAAATACATTAAAACGCTGTTTTTCTGCTTGAAAATGGTCAGCTATAGACAATTTCATGAGAATCAATCTAATAATGTATACAGTTTCAGGGATCTCAGGAACCATGGAATAAGAACCCATTTTAATGTTCTTAGCCTCTTTTTTGAGGTCAAGAAATGAATGATATTGTTACAACAAAGCTCTTCCATTCCCAGGCACAGTACTTGTTTATATGAACAAGTTTTCTCAGGGCACATGACTATAACAATTAGAAATAGGAATAGAATTGATGATCAACCCTGCTTCTAGTAATAAGACATATTCAGCCACAGATGTAGGAACTTTAAAAAGCAGTGGCTAACGCCTGTAATCCCAACACTTTGGGAGGCTGAGGCGGGCAGATCATTTGAGGTTAGGAGTTCAAGGCCAGCCTGACCAAAATGGTGAAACCCCATCTCTACTGAAAATATAAAAAAAAAAAATAGCCATGTGTGGTGGCAGGCACCTATAATCCCAGCTACTCGGGAGGCTGAGGGAGGAGAATTGCTTGAAGCCGGGAGACAGAGGTTGCAGTGAGCCAAGATTGCGCCACTGCACTCCAGCCTGGGAGACAGCGCAAGACTTGGTCTAAAAAAAGCAATTTTTTAAAAAGCAACAATAATTTTTCAATACAATTACAAATACTATTTAATAATTATGAAAATTTCTAATATTTATGTTGCTTTGAGAAATTAGAACTGAAATGACACCCTCCTAGACAAAAAAGAACACTCGGTTATGGTTGAAGTTGTCGCTCAGACGCTAGCTTAAACTTTCCCACAAAATCTCTCTCTCTCTCCCCGCTTGCCACCAACATCTGTACCTGCTCCTGGTTATGTTACAGGTTACGTTCTGGTGCTTCCTTCCCCCCATGACTCTCTCCTTCTCTTCCACTCCCTTAATTAGCAATTAGTAGATTTTAATTTGATTTAAAAGATTTGTTCTCGTTGAATACCATTTTATACTTCATTTTCTTATTTGGAAAAAAAAAAGTTATTCCCCCCCTGCTTCCCAAAAAGTCAAAGTTTTTTTCATCAGAACATAACATTCATATCAATGTGATGAGTGGGCCAAAGTAGAAGATTCCCTATTCGTGAAAAGAACCATCGCTTTAATGGAATCCTTGAGTTTCATCTGCCACTTGAACCTCAAAGACTGACCTGCTTTCTGTCAAAAAGTCTTAACTTGTAGCATATAGAGTTATAGTGGATTATGTCAGTCACATACATATTTAAGAATCAAGACATTTGTTACCTGCCAGGTGCTATCTAAGAGCAAAACTGTCATCCAGTTTAGTGTTTAAACCAGGATGAGAAGTACCAAAGTCTGCTGCTACACTGGAAGACCATAGAACACCCCTCCTAACTATCCAGGGTCATTGATAGTCCTTAACCAGGAGAGAGATCTGACTGTAGCAGACCAAATCAACCCTTCCCACCCAAAGAAATGGTACCACGGGCAACCCTAAGCTCCAACTACTGCGAAGACAACTCCACTATAGACTACCAGTTTCCAGATCTCTGGAGCAAGCTTAGTGGTTACAAAGCCATTCTGTCTCCCTTGCACTGATTAGCATCTGGAGAGTGTGAGGAGGGATGATCAAGAGGCCCTTCAGGGAGTTCACCAACCAGGTAAATATGACACCTCTTTTTTCAAGTAACAAAGTCTGATTTTTTTGGACATTTTCTTAGTTATAAATGGCCCCTGGTCAATTTATTCACCCAACAAACATTCATTCAACAACTCTTATGTACCAGTCATTTTTTTAGGTGCCAGGGATACAGCAGTGAACCAAACATCCCTCTGTTATGGAGCTTACATCCTAGTGGAAAACAAAATAGACAACAAATAATGTATGATAGATCTATGGAAAAAAGCAAGATGAGGATAGATGGGCTTACTGTTTTATTTTGAGTAAGCTGTTCAGGGTAGGTTTCAATGCGATGATACCTGAGCCATCTGTGAAGGAATTGAAGGGGCAGTGCAGCTGTCTGGGGCTTTAGCATTCCAAGAAGAAAGCATAGCAAGTATAGAAGACCTGAGACCCGCTAAGGGGAAAGTGACAAGAGGTGAGGTAGGTATGCCTTCACAGATCTGGCAGGTCTTGGGAGCCATCAGAAGAGTTTGGCTTTTACTCGAGCTCAGAACCCATTAGCAGGTTTTGAGCAAAAGAAGGACATGATCTGACTTCCATTTCAGAT